AGGGGAAGGGGAAGGGGAAGGGGACGGGTGGAAGGGAGAGGGAAGAGGGAGAGGAGGGAGAGAGGGATGAGCTCAGCAGCAGCAAGCAAGCAGCAGCAGACAGCTCCCAGCAGTCACGAGTCACGAGTCGAACCGCGCGCGCTCACATCATCCTTCTTCTCTCATTTCCCACCTCCACACACAGCAGGTGTACCGGGTACCGGTACCGGTATGCATGCATGCGCCTCCCTCGCGACTCGCGTGTTGTATACTGTAGGTAGCGATACACACTCACGCTCGCGACTCACTCGTGACTGATGATGACTCACTGTGACTGACTGCCATGGGCATGCGCCAACCATCCCGCGTGGAAGCGGAAGCGGAAGCGGAAGCGGACGCGAGTCAAGAGTCGTTTTGAGTGCGTGCGCGTCCGCGTCCGCGTCCGCGTGAGAGCTCTCTCTTCTTGCCTTCCTCCTCTCTCTACCGCCAACTCGCACGCGCCAAGATCAAGAACAAAGAAGTGAACGTGGACGTGGACGTGGACGTGGACGTGGACGTGGATGTAGGAGCGCGCGATTAAGTCTGAAGTGGAAAGAGTCTGAGTCGTGAGCCTTTTGCGCAGAAGGGAACGACCTTTGGAACTCGACAACCTGGGCCCGCCTCGGCTGCAGGAAGGAGGGCAAGGAGGAAGAGGAAGAAGCAGCAGCAGCAGCAGCAACACTTGCACCCCCCCTCATGAGCTTGATACGTCATGTCCGCTACAGCTTCAGCTTCAGATTCCAAGCTGAGTTGCTTGGAGTGGAACAATGTGAGCGGGCGGGCGGGCATCAAGCGCTGTCAGATTGCACGCGGGCTGATCTGATCTGATCTGTTCCAACGCCTCGCCTCGCCCGCTGGCGCAGACGCTATCCAACAAGATGTTGCGTGCACCCTGGTACGCTCTGCGCGGCCAGCCCTTCATCTGCGTCAGTCTTGCTCCCCCACACGCCCCCCGCCCCCGCTCCCTCTCCGCTCTTCTCGTTGCGCCGCTCCCACCCGTCTGACTGGCTCATTAGCTCCACTCCGCTCGCGCATCTCTTTCCCCCCCCCCCTTTCCGCAGAAATTCTTTTCAGACACGCCTTCTCGGACATTTTGTCTGCTTTTGCAACCCATGACACCAAGCAGCGCCCATTTCGAAGGTCTATCGAGCCGCTCATCTGCTCGTCGCACAAAGGCTAGCGGTGAAGCGGCACAGTCGCAGGCACACACCCGCCCAGCAGCAGCAGCAGCAGCAGCAGCCTCGCAGTCGCACTCGGAGCAGCAGCAGCAGGAAGAGAGAGACTGGAATTGGAGAGTCGACTTGCTGCAGAAGCTTTTGAGCGGTCAGATCGAGACAGCAAGCGTCGAGTGCGATTACGGAAAGACGGAGGTGAGCGAGCGAGGGGAGCGTTCGACTGAGCGGAGGCCTCGATCGAGTCACCTCCATCCCCGCGCACACTGACCCCTCGCAACTCCCTTGTGCGCATCAGTCGCAAATCACGATCAGGCACGTTGCGCCCACTCTGAATTTCTCCTTTGTATTTGAGCTGAGCGCCTTGAGCAGCTCCGAAGCTGCTCAGGTGTATCAGCAGCATCTGCTGCTACCCCTCCTACGCGCTGCTGGTGCCCTCGAGAGCACGGGCGCAGAGGAGGAAGGCGATGCGACGAATCTTGCAAACGCGCTGGCGCTCGTCTCGTTGGGATCCACTCGGCGGAATGCCAGCAGACATGCTCATCCCGGTGAGGAGGAGGAGGATGGGAAAGGTGTCGCAACTGCCACCTCACCCAACATCGCTTCTTCGCTTGGCAAAGACTCGTCGCTGCAGCAGTCGAGCCATCAAGCCGAAGATTTGTCCGTCACTCTAGATGAGGCAGATGCGGATTCTGACGGATTCGAGGTGGAGAGTGCAAAAGTCCCCTCGCGAGCCAGGCCTACCAAAGTGAAGAAGGAAGAGCTTAGCACATCTCCTTTCAGCACAAGATACGGCGCAATGGCAAGGCAAGAAGCGGATCCGGACCCGAGTGCCGGACCTTCCATCAAGCGATCATCAGAGAGTCCACTTGCTGCTCGACCAAGCAGGACGACGGTGATGCGGGAAGAAAAAATACCTCTTCGATCATCGCGTGGCAAAAAGATCGACTCGGACGGGTTCGAAGAGGAAGAAGACGAAGCTTCTACTTTGCCGCATATCAAGAGTCCCGAGCCGCCAGATACGCCTGCTGTGGCTATCAAGCGCAATGCAAAGCTACCAAAGCTCAAAGGCGGCGGCGGCGGCGGCGGCGGCGGCAGCAGAAGCAGCGCGACGGAGAGCGAAGAGGATGGGAATGCGGATCTCGCCTCTTCTTTTAAAGGAGTCGAATCTCCCACGATGCGCAAAGCTGTGCATGCGCGCAGTCCCACAGATTCTTTCTCTTTCGAAGCTCCTTCGCGCTCGCCTGAAGATGCCATGATGCCTCGACCTCGGCAGAAGCAAGCAGCAGCAGCAGGGGTAAAGTCACCGAGCAAACGCGCGAGGGTGAGAGGGGATGATGATGATGATGATGATGCGGCCGGAGCGTCGCAGGATGGCTCGTCCATGCAAGACGCCCTCCTCACTCCTTCGCCGCCCATCCTACCACGCCGCGCAAAGATGCCGGACCTCTCCCCCAAAGAGCCCATCACCGCTGCGCACGCACACGTCTCTGAGCTCGAGCAAGGGCAAAAGGAGGACAAGAAAGCGGACAACGACAAGGCTCATGGAACGGCTGCTACGCGCGGAGGAAGAGGTACGGGTTACAGGAAAGCGCAAGGTGGCCGCAAAAAGGGGTTTTGATATGCGCGGGGGGAGGGGCGGGCTTGCGCGCGCGTGATCCTTCCTTCTTGCAAAAAAACTTGCCGATTCGTTTCGCCTATGCATGCACGGCCCTTGAGAAGTTTTCTTTCTGCACAGATCCGATTGCGTGTGCGGCGCCCTGCTCCCCCGCTCCCCGCTCCCCGCTCCCCGCTTCCTCCACTCGACTTGCTGCTGATGGTGATGAGGACGCATGACACTTGGATTGTGCAAGAAGGGCAAGCGAAAAAGGCCCGGTTTGCAATAGGGCGTACGGAAGCTCCAAATCGTCTATCCGCACCGCGCGGGCCAAGCAAGGTCCATGGTCTAGGTGTAGGTGTCCGTCCCCCCTTGCTCATTCCGAGCATGGTGAGAAAGTGTTCCGAAAAGAACACGCGCGTCTCCCTGCACGATGCACAAAACTGCTCTGCTAACCCCCAAGGATGAAATAGCCCAGACCGAGCTCATCACCTACCTCACCCAGCTCAGCACGCACACGCACACGCGACGACAGCAAGCGCATTCGCTCGCTCGATACATGGAGCTACATCGATCACTTCGCTGCGCCGCCGCCGCCGCCGCTGCTGCTGCTGCGACTACGAGCAGGTGCGTTGAACGTCATGCATTATTCTAGAGTTTGGGCACATTCATCGCAACGGAGATGGAGAGACCGATTCGAAGGTTGCACGGTTTCAGCACTTGCTCCGACGTGGAGCCACACAACAAGCGATCGCGTTGCCCACTTACTCATGAACAAGGTAACGACATCCCCATCCGAAATGGCATGATTGATGCCAACTTTTTGCCCTTGTAAGAATCTGCATCGGAGTGACAGATCAAGAGGAAGCAAAGTACGATGAGCCGGTTGATTGAAAAGGTCCGCGGTAGGCTAGCAAGGCCAAGGGGAGGGGCTCGACGCACTTGCTCGATTTACCCCAAACCGTCGCATAGCTGAATTTCTCGACGAGGGATTTGTGGATGGAGTTGCACTGCGTCGTGTAACCCGCGCACCAGAATCAGCGCTCAGAGAAAGTCCAGCGGGGACAATGTTTCCCCCCTCGTCTCATCTCGTCAACGCACCACATCTTCGACCGTCCCGCCAGCTCGCACGATGACCGGATCTTCCAAATCTGGATGTTCTCCCCTCTTTCTCGTGTACACGCGCAAAAGATTCATCTCATTCTGCGCGGGGCTCAGAATAGCTCGGGTCGAATGAGCATTGCGGCGGGCTTGCGCAGCCTCGAAGCGCGCTCACCCATATCCGATCCTTCAATCTTTCCAGGTTTAGTCTCAACTCGCACGAGACGACGATAGAGTGAGGTCTTCTCGCTAGTTTGTCCATCTCCTCCATGGATATGCTGTCGATCTTGTTGTAGACGTACAAGCAAGGCGTGTACTTTCTAGTACCCAGCACGACGTCGATGAACTGATCCACGGTAATGTCTTCTCGCAGAAGCACGTCGGTATTCTACAAAGCATGCGTCAGAAATGCGCTTTCAACCAATGCAGCCCCCCCCGCTCCGGCGAAATGGCACTCACGTGCATCTTGTAGCCCTGTATATGATGTGCAATCGAGACATGTAAGCCGCCGTGGAAAGCTGACTGCGATGTGTAGAGCTCACCGCAAGAATCGTCCTGATCATCTTTTCGTCGATCTTTGTCAATGTCAAGCCCATAGCTTTCGAGACTACGATTCCACCAGCTTGTTTGCGCTTCAAGATGACTGGGGGGGGGGGGGGGGGGGGGGGGGGGGGGGGGGGGGGGGTGGTAGCAAAAGGAAGAGGATGTTCGACTGCTACCGACCAGGGCTCTCCTGGCCGCCTCCACTCACCATCAGGTGGCTTCTTGTTCAATCGAATGCCCACGTCTTCCAATTCTTTCTCCAAGAGAACCCTCTGCTGCTCAGACTTTGTCGCGTCCATCATGATCTGAGATAGACGCAAAGCTATGTTGAGCATCTGGCGATGCCTTGGCAGCCCCGCCGGCGCCCCCCCCTTTCCGCGCCGTCGCTCATACTTGCCAAGCAAAACAGACCGGCGCAACACTCACAAGGATAAGGTCGGCAGTCTTTGCGACGCTCACGACCTGTCTACCTCTTCCTCTTCCCTGACTAGCGCCCTCGATGATACCAGGCAGATCGAGCAGTTGTATCTCTGCTCCTTCATACTCCAGCACACCAGGAATAGCGGTCAATGTGGTGTATTCGTAGGCAGCCGTGGCGCTCTCTGTGCGCGTGATGGTGCTCAGCAGTGTACTCTTGCCCACGGAAGGAAAGCCAATCAGCGCTACCCGCGCTGATCCTCGCTTCTGAACATCGAAACCTTCTCCCTTTGCACTCGTCTTTTCCGGCTCGAGCAGCTGCACCCGCAACTTGGACACCTTGGCTCGCAAGAGACCAATGTGGTACTCTGTCGCCTGCAGAATCGCGAGCTCTGCAAGTCAGCACCACGTCTGATATATCTCGCGCATACATTCGCTATGGATCGCCAACGCACCTTGTTCTTCTGAGTCCGAGCCCTGCGATGACGAGTTGGACGTCAGCGTGAATGAGCATGCAGACGGTATGTGCGCGCGTCTTGCGTACGCTCCGCCCACAATGCTCCAATCTCCCCAAAACCTCGCGCATCGCAAAGGGCTCACATCTCGGCCTCGATCTCGGCAATCTTTTCGACGATGCCCATCTTGTCAAGCTAGCTTGCAAGTCGAAAGCGCGCGTGCTCTGCTTCTCCTTCCTCGATGATGCGAGGCCAACGATGTGTGGACCGCGGCCTGGCTGATGGATTCGCCTGCTTGTTCGTCTAGACCTCCTCTCGTGAGGAAGCGCTCTGCCTTCAAGGACGTCGTATGGTGCGTGAGCAGCTGAGAGATAGATGCCGCTGTTGCCTGATCCAACGCTGTCGTGATGGAGTCGCGAGTGAGAGTGCGCCCAGCGACGTGACCTTTTGACGCGCTGGATTCGTGACTCTCATCAGTCTGAGTCTGGCTAGCGCCTGCGTGGGCGGCGCGCAAGGTCACGTGCTCAATAAAAACGGGCGTGGAGGGTGCATGCTGGGCGCGGCGCTGCATGAGAGGTGGTTGCATGGCGATGTCGATGTCGATATGCTCCACCCCACGCTGCAGCTGCAGCAGGTGCATGCAACGCAATCAATCATCCGTTGTGATCGAGTGAACCTCAGGCACAACGCGCTCCGGGCGATCTTCCGTTCCCTGCACTCACAACTCACCACTGCGGTCAAGAGTTCCTCCCGTAACCCTTTGCTCTGACGTTCAGTCCAGCTACCGGCAACTTCTTGTGGGAAGTCTCGGATCGAAGCATAGCATAGCATACGGTGGGCTAGCTGCCCGCGCGCACAGTCACACGACTCTCCTCTTCTCGGAAACGAAGCCCATTCCCAGGCTGCGCTCGACGATCAAAAAGTCATTCCTTTGGCATGCTTGCTCGTACTTCGCATTAGCCAGATCAGCGGCCTCTTTGTGCTCTGCACCTCCTAACCCTCTGGAGCTTCACAACCCGTGCTTCCACCTCCAATCGCCGCTCTCGATCGCACTTCGATCGCCACGCCCTGCTACTTGACTCCTCAGACCTCCCGTCACTTGCTGCGAGACTCACGACCGTTTCAAAATGCCGTCAATATCAGCTCCTGTGGCGCCATCTGGCCCTCCAAGCACACCTTCGCATTCCCACGCACAATCTCGCTCACGAAGCCGGCACAAGTCAGGTCAAGCCTCTCTCCTCTCCTCTACTGCCAATCTAGCCAACACGGTGCTGGGCACTGGCATGCTAGCCACTCCGGGCGCCTTCAAGTACGTGGGTCTGCTACCGGGCATCTTTCTAGTGCTATTGTGCGGTGCAATGTCGGCTGCTGGGCTGCTGCTTGTATGCGCTTGCGCCAGGACGATGGGAGGCAGGAAGCAGAGCTTCTTTAGCGTGGCCAAGGCTACTGTGCCCAAAGGAGCGCGATGGTTCGATGCGGCCATCGCCGTCAAGGTGAGCTTACCAAGTGTGCCTCCGAGCAGCTTCCTCGCAGCCCCTCGCAGCCCCTCGCATGCAGTCGCTGAGGTGATGCTCACCAATGCGACAGTGCTTCGGAGTGTCCATCTCGTATCTCATCATCATCGGCCAGCTGATGCCCCAAGTCGTGCTGTCGATGGCCAAGCTGGGCGGAGGCTCGATGGAGGATCTGCCGCTGTGGACTTTGGCGCGCGGTACGTGGATCGCAGCTGGCATGGCCGGTTTGGGTGAGTAGAGAGCATCTCGCGCGGTTTGGCAATGCGCGCGTCGATGCTCAGCTTGACGGGCTCTCAATCTCGCGCGCGCGCGCGCGTACACAGTCCCGCTCTGCTTCTTGAGGCGGCTAGACTCTTTGCGGCATACCTCCTACCTTTCGTGAGTAGCGGTGCGAAGACACTCTTGTTCGATCTGGCTCATCGATCCTCCTCGATTCTCCTCGCGCAGCCTGGTAGCCGTCCTATACCTCGTCCTCATCGTCGTGCTCTACTCGGTACTTCCAAGCTACAGGTCCAGCTTACCTCCTCGCGGTGAAGTGCACTGGATCGTCTTGAGCGATGCCAATCACTTTGTCAGCATGTTTCCCGTCTTTGTGTTTGGTGAGCGCTGCAGGATTGCACTCGAGGTGCACGTCCCACCCGGCTTGCTCTGCTCACGTTGCGATCACGACTCTGCTTGGTGTGCGCGCGCAGCTTTTACATGCGCTCAAAATTGTTTGCCAGTCTTCAACGAGCTGAGATCCACTCCGGAAAGACACTTTGAGCGAATGCGGATCAGCATCTATACCAGTCTAGGAGCCGCTGCAGGCGTCTATATGGTGAGTTCTTGGCGATCACATCATGTCCCGGCAAGCACCGCTCACTTGGGACTGTGGCGCGCGCCTTGCCATGCATCTCGCCAGATCGTCGCTATCCTCGGCTACACGACGTTCGGCTCTCTGGTCTCGAGCAACATCATTGCCATGTACCCGTCCAGCTCGACGCTAGTGGCATTCGCTCGCATAGCCATCGTTGTGCTCGTCGCCTTTAGCTATCCTTTGCAGGTGCATCCTTGCAGAGCCGCCTTGGACAAGGTTCTAGCTCCTAGTGATGAAGCTCATATCAGCCCAGACTCACGTTCGGCGGATGCGCAAGTTGCTGATCCCGGCGATGGCAGCCCTCAGGATGCTTCGCGGTACACTGACGACGAGCCCTCGGCGGCACCGAGGCCAAAGGCGCACAACCGCGCGGCTCGCGAGCAAGCATCCGACGCTGGCGAGTCCGATGATGAGGAAGAGATGCAAGAAGAGGAAGAAGCGAGGCGAGCATTGCTGTTGACCCGAGCAGGTGCCGATCCGTTGCTACCTATTCCCACGGGTCGTCGAAGGAGCCAAGGAGGGGCTGGAGCCGAGGCGACAGGCGTTGCTCCGACGATAGATGACGAGGAGATGAGCCTGGAAAGGTGGTGCATCTTGACCGCCTTCATTCTCGCTTCGACCTTTGTCATTGCTATGCTCATCGATGACTGTGAGTGTGCAAGTCGTATCGCACTGGAATGCCCTAGGCAGATGACTGACATTTGGCCCTCACGCAACTCTCAAGTGGGTTTGATTCTGGGGTTTGTAGGATCCATAGGAAGCACCACAATCTCCTTTATCCTACCGGGCATTCTCTACTCAAGCTTGCATCCTCGCACAGACAAGTGGAGGCGGCCCGCTCAAGCGCTGGCCATCTACGGGGGCATAGTCATGCTGTTGACGCTCAGCGCCAATGTGCTCAAGCTGATCAGAGCGGGAGGAGAAGACAAGGACCACAGACATCCGCATGAAGAGGTCGCGAATGGTGTCGAGCAACTGGTCAAAGGTCTTGGTTTGGACGAGGGCTTGAACCTCGTGGAGAGGTGGAGATGACGCGAAGCGAGCGGATCCGTGTCTGGGGCACACTCACTCACTCACTCACTCACTCACTCACTCACTCACTCACACATACACACACACACACACACACACACACACACACACACACACACACACACACACACACACACACACACACACACACACACACAGCATGTTCTCGCAATCTATACCAAATCGTAACTCGCTACCACTGCGGAGACACGCAGGAGAGAAGGACCACGTGTTGATTGCGTTTGCTAAACTGCCGGAATGCAAGGGGCGTACTCCGC